TCTGGATCAACGACTTTTCTATCGATGAAGGATTCGATTTCTTCCACGTTCACGATGGTGAGAATTCAACCTTATTAAGCTTATCTTAAAATGGATGAAAAACTGTATGATCTATTAAAGTTATCCGATTCGCAATGTAAAAAATATTCTCTATCTAAATGCTCATGTATTTTTTTATTATTACTAAATATATATGTTTCACAAATATGCCTAAAATATAACATTTAGATAACCAGATACATTTCATATCTATATGATGACACATGCATGATATATTACAGTGATAATTACTAGGTAGATTAGTTAAATGAGTTGGGTATTTTGTTATTTTTTTATGTTATGTTAAATGTACAATAATTGAATTAGCCACATGTTTTTAAAACGTTGTATTGCAAAGAATCAACATAAATTGCCTCCTTAAAACTACAAACAAGTGTTTTTTTCATGGGCAGCTTAACTTAATACATTGAATTTAATTCCATCTTTTTTATCCAGGCATTAGATGCTATGGCTCTCCTTAAAAACCTGCTCCCAACCTGGGGAAACATATACTGGAAAACCCCATTGAACTTCTTCTACCCGAATACGCTCTACCTATTTAAAACTACCGTGCAATTTGACGCAGCCTTGTTCAGTACCTTTCCCATAACTTTTCGGAAATTGCCACACTTACTTTCACTTACCGAGGGAATCCATCCGCAGGCTTCGGATTCGAATTGTTTACATGTTATATAGATTAAACCGTTTTTTGCTTTCTTTGATAAAATGTTTTTTACTTATCTAAAACCCAATTTTATCCAAAAAAAAAAATATTATAACTGTAAATGCAACTTCCTTGGTACCTAACAAGATTCAAAGGTACCATGTATCTGGTTAGGTACCAATCGTTTTGCAAATGGAATTGTTATTGTGTATCATTTTACATATCAATATAATAATATTTGAGAGATTTGGGTAGCATTTTTAAAGGTCACCTTTCATTTCTTGGATCTTGATTTAAATTGTATGTTTCTTGTATCTATTAATTTGTAAAATTTGGGTTGTTTTATCTTATAGTCTTTTTCATATTATGTGGGGTTTGTATAGTTTTAGTCAGTACCACACACTGTTTAGTGAACGAGAATATGCCCTTTTGTGTCTTCCATTGTGAACATAAGAATGGTTTTAAAAGTTTGATTGTAAATCGCTATTAATATCATTGTGTGAGACCTTTTATTCATTTAAAAGATATCGATGTTTGTCAAGGGGCACATATCAAATACTTCTGAATCGAGACATTTTGATCAAATATAATGCATATTACAAATTCAATTGACTTCCACCCTGGGTATTCCAATAACATATGTGTATAATATATGGCAAAAAAGACAATAAATTAAAAAAAATACAAAAAAAATAAATAAAAACTTGTTCTTATATTTTGTGGATTTTTTGAGGTAATAAAGGTATTTCTTTGATTTATTGTTTCTTTGTTGATTCATTTCATCATCTACACCCATTAAATCAAAATAAACAGACGAGATGCTATTAAATCAAGCTACCGATCCATTTTATTTTACAGTGTCTACTCGTTGAAATCAAAACCAAGTAATACGTGATATTGAAAAAAAAACAACTTTGTCTTACCTGAAAACAGTTATTTAATCTTTTTATCTTCATATATCTAATTTTCAGAAACATGTTCTGTGCCTTATTCAGAGATTTACATTGACACTGTTCAATACAAAAAATAATAATGGCTTTATGCAATTGAAACCAAAAGGCAAGGACAAAACATGTTCTAGACTTATTATGGTCAAGCATTGAAATCACCCGAACATCCCTTTGTTGGCTGTAAGCTCCTCTCCTACTTCTAAAGGAAAGCGATCGCAAACAAATGTGGCAGTAAAAATGAAAATTTTTCAAAGGGGTTTTTCACCCCAAGTACTTTGAAGCAATAATTTGGGCCAATTTTTTTTGCCTTTGTGAAAACAAAAACTGAACATTTATGCCCTGTTTGTTTTTTTTCGGGGACCAACCAAAGAGATCATTTATCTACGTCAGGTGTAAAAAATTTTCCCATAACAACCCCGGGTTTCAAAAAACCCAAAATTTTCAGGTTAAACTAGACTCCACTCCCGGGAACCCATTTAGTCGTCTCGGGAATCAAAACCCGAAAAACGGCGGCTGCAATTTTTTCCCTCAGCAATTAGGAAAACCCAACGTCAAAAAGGGGCCCAAAATTGTTTTTGAACGTTTTTTGTACTAAAAATTTGGGCACAAATCATTTTAAATTTATTTTAGGGGGCCCCTTTTCTTTAAAGGAAATGTAAAACCATTTGGAGACTTAAACGTACGCAATTTAAAAACCCCAAATATCCTGGATTACTACAAAGGAAAAGACATAGTATGTGGAGGAAAGTGTCTCTGATTATTATGATAGTTTCTTTAATATTTCCGACATGTTATTTATTTCCTAAATAACATCTAAAAAAGTCTAACAAACATTCAAGTTTAAAAAAAATGATTATTTTAACCAAGATAAATGCTTTTGTCATGAATTTTTTTTGAAAATGTATTAACAAGTATTATATTGTGAAGTGAACAAACAGTAATTTACACATTACAAACGACCACTTACAATACACGTATATTGCATAACAACAACTTTAAATAAATAGAAAATAAAGAAAGAGATCATTTATATGGAAAAAAACTTACTGCGTACTCACGCAACTGCATAAGACAAACACTAGAAGTGTGGTGATAAATACTACAATATTCATCATAAATTCGCAACATTATATGTAAATCTTTTAATTTAAATTTAATTCTTTTTAAATTTTTTACCGTTTTTAATTTTTTATACATTCCTTAAATTTTGAGGGAAAGGGTTCTTAAATATTTGGCTCATATTTTAATCCCAAAAAACAATTTAAACTTTAGGGAAAAACTGTATGTTGTTTATTATTTTGGGTTTTCCCAAATTGTATTTTAACGAAATGGTCGAACTTTAAAAAGTTTTACAAAAAATTATTTAAATGAAAAAGAATAAAAGATCTATCTGAAAATTTTAAAAAAAGGGGTTTAACTCGCACCCGCGGAGGGTTTAAATCTGGAAAACTTTTAAAAAAGTTTTGATTTTGTTTTTTTTTTGGCCCCTGTCCGTTCCCAACACAGCTTTCATTTGAAAGCTCTTTTTTTTTTAAAAAATTTAAATTTTTTTGAATCCAGTATTAAAAGCTTTTTAAAAAAAAAAAGAAAAGTTTCCGACGATGACGAAAAAAATTTTAAGCACGAAAATAAGGGAAAAGAATTTTAAACGGCCCATTAAAGGGCCAAAACTGTAAAAAAATAGGGTCTCCAAATATTTTAAAAATTTTCTAAATATTTTTTTTTTCCCTTGGATGTTTTTGTATTTTTGGGGGTTTGTTTGTTTTTTTTTAAACATTTTTAGAAATTTAAAGAATGTATTTTTTTCTTTTTATTTTTTATTCGTATCAATTAATTTTTAAGTGCGTTTTCCCTAATTTTGTACACCTGCTTGTTTCTGAAATGGTACGGTCAGCACCCGGAAAAGTACTTTTCTTTTTTAAATTTCTTTACAATGCTTTGGGAACCCTTTTAAAAATTTCCCATTAGCCCAGGTCATAGATTCTACTCAAAAAAATTGTGAAAATGAAATCTACTTTATACAAATTACCATTTGGGTTTCGGCGAAATAGCCATCCCGATGTTTTAATTAATTTTGTGATTTTTAATGTGGGGTTGACATTTTAGGGTTGTTTACTGAAAAACCCCAAGTGGACTTTTCTGCAAGGGTTTAAAACGCAAGCACTAACACTGTAAATTCATAGGGTATTTGAAGTTTTTTTTGGTGTAAAAAACTCATCCCCTTTGCGTGCATTTTTTATTGGCGCTAATTTGACAAAATTGGTTTAGGCAGCGACTTTTCCTTTAAGAAAAGTGGATAATTTTTCCAAAAATGAAAGAATCCTAACAGAACGCTCAAATAAACCACGGTGAGCTGGGGGGAAACCCCAAATTGATTCTTTTAATTTGAAAAAATATATAACGGGTACACATACCAAATTTTAAATTGGTCAACTTAATTATAAAAATTAATTTTTTTTAAGTTTAGTCAAAAAATTTTATCTTTTAAATTTTTTTGCCCCTTTATGAAAAAAAATGAAAACATTCGCTTTTTAAAGCCCAAAGAATCAACTTCTTTGTTTTTTTTGACGGGTTTGAGTTATAAAAAACATGTGGTTTTTAAAAAAATATAGAATTCACCGACGAAAATTTTGTTCAGCAAGTTTTATTTGGGGTCGCTTTGTAAACAAATATAAATTTTTAAAGAAGAAATTTTTGGGTCGCTTTTATAATAAAAATTTTCCATTGTTTTTTGTTCAGCAAAGGGAAATTCTGCTGGGCTCGATAAATTTATCATAAATGAAAATGTTATAAAAAAATTTACATAAATTTTATCGAGTTTTAAAATTTTTTAATTTTTTTAGTTTATTTTTATTTTTTTTAAAGGACGTAAAGCCTATTTTTTGAAAATTTTTTTTACAGATTTTATAAAATTTTAGAAATTAGAAAAAGAAAGCCCATACACACGATCAATTGGACAATTGCGGCCAATCATTAAAACTTAACCACTTTTCATTGCGCATGATGTTTTTGATAACGAAGCCTTAGAGTCATTGAACCTAATCATATTTGTTAAGATGATATGTTACGTATGATTAATTTACGCCCTGCATACCAGAATATCATAGATTCGTTAATATGTAAAAGTAAAACTTTGTTTGTTTGATGATTTTATAATGCAATTAATTGTGTTTAAATGATAGTAATATACCATTTGATATTCAGGTTAACAAAATTAGTCCATTGTTAAAAAACACATAGAAACGGGGATATATTTTCCAATTGCCTCATTGAATCAGCATAACCCATTGAACCACATACGACCTTGAGATTACCTTTGGGAGAGAAAATAGTTTAACATATAGATAGTGCAAACAAACATAATAAATCTAGTCAAAGATGTCATTGTAAGTATGTCACACAGCTAAGATGCATTAAGACATTTAAACAGTTTGTTACAGCTTGAAACTATGCAATTTGATTTGATTTACGAGGAAATAGGGGACTACGGGCGTTATCAAAGATGGGTTGTATGGACCTCAGCGTCAACGGGATTTTACTCTGGACTTCTTATACTTACATCATACTTTGTACTGGCTGTTCCGGAACATAGGTAATTCTGTGAAGTCAGAATTTAATATATATACGAGTATAAACAGAACAATTTGAAAATATAACATGCAGTAAATCTGTATCAACAGATTTTGCATAAAAGGAACTCAACTGAGGTCCAAAGTCTTCATAAAATTTAGAAATCTTACATCGATCAGCTGGGAAACTTAAAACAGAAAGCTATAATTTAAAAGATAATTAAGAAAAATACACAGAAATAAATTGAAAATCGTATCTGTGCAATTTGAGTAACGGTTTTAGATTTTGGGTCATTTGTCACAAATAGCATAATTATCCTGGAAAAACGGATTGGAATTTTTGCACGAAAGTTATTGGTTTAGACCTTCATCAAATGGATCATTAATCACGAAAACAAAACCATTCAGTCCCGTTATGTAAAAAATACCTCGGTGGAGTGAGTCCCTTAGATATATTTTTAACAAGAGCCCATCTTTAGATTAATATTCGCCATTAAAGTTAGATTTAAAGGTTAAATGACCTTTCAACTTTTGATTGTACCAGCATGCAATTAATAAAGCTATGAACCCATCTCAAGTTTTCTTTAAGATGTCGCCAATATGGCTGCCAAAAACAATAAGTTTGAACGAAAAGTATGTTTAATACATTCACAAATTTTCATTGATATTAGCTATTTCATTTTTTCAAATTTGTTGTAAATGTGTTTATTACTAATAGAATTTTACTTAAAATGATGTGTTTTAACAAAATTGCTCTCAAAATAGCCGCCAAAAGCACAAGAAGTGGATTGTCATGTATAAATGTATAATCTACATGCAGGTTACATCCGAAGAGACACAATCTTTACCCCTGCCAAATAAAACATGATGTAATGAAAAACAGACAAGGTATACCTAAGGGGCTTAGACAGCTGAACGCCAAGAAAGCACCAGGACCACCAGAACTGCATTCTGGCTCGATTGCTTAAGGGTTTGGTCAACCAATCCGCTCATTATTTTTGCATTATCACACAAAAATATCCCACATTCTACATCGCAATTATGGGAATCGCAACGTTAGTCTTGCGAAACATGCAATTGTTTATCCTGTCACTTGTATCAATTTCGGTCCGATAACAAGGTGCCGTATATTTTTACTGATCTACGGCACTTGATCACGTGGTATGCATGTTTGCCGGACTACTTTTCAAGAAAAAATATAAAAACTGTCGTTAAATCTTCTGTGTGTAGAATAACGAATTTTGGAAACGTTGATAAAACTTTGTTTGTTTATTTTATTTTACTCTATAATTTTTCAAGCGAAATAAAAATTATTAAAAGTGAAATAAATGTAAAACTTAACTCGTTTGCGACATTTAAATAGCGTACTTGATTTAATTGTTTTGCACGTGCTGTTTGGCGCTACATTGTGACGTCAAGTAAACAATACTTTAAACGTCTGTACAGCGTTAACGACTGAATAAAAGATATTGGTGTTCGAATTCATTTTCTTAGTTAGACCATTTTCTTTCATTCTAGATAGTTTTCACAACAAAATTCGACAAAAAATTGTTTTTTTTATCACGTTTTTCAAACAAAATGGCGCCCTCAATGTGAAAATACACAAGGGAGATAATAAGAACGGTGAGTGCATTGTTGTAGAATAATGCACGCTTCGGGCCTTCTTTGTTTCTATATAGAAACATTTCCGATAGTGTGAGTCTAATAAAATTCTTTAAAAAAAACGGTGACAGGATAAATAGAATAATAGATTGGTGCCGTGGATGGAGAAAGTTTATCTGGCTCTGCTCCGGAATTTATTGGGTTTGCCTTCGGCTCACCCAATAAATTCCTCCGCCTCGCCAGATAAACTTTCTCCATCCACGGCACCAACCTATTATTCTCTATATATAGCACCAACAAACGCGTTGATTTAATTGTTTTCTGTTTCATTAAAGATGTGCAATTCCGGGTTTGGAGAATGATACGTTTGAGATACAAAATGACTATCATCGTGAAATCGTCAATAGAACAATACCCCTGGCGACACCAAGCGACGATTTCTACTACGATCAATGTCACTACAGGCTTGTTAATTATGATGGCCATGAGATGATTGACAAATGTAATAAATGGGTCTATGACAAGTCAATATTCACGACGTCTCTTGCTGCTGATGTAAGTATTTGAAGCATTATGCATTCCATTACAGTGCCTTAAGAAACAGTTACTCTTATACCTAAATTTGTCGTAGTCCTGTCGTTTATTGCAGGTGTTTGGGAGCTCGATAGTATGTTAAAACTAAACTTCTTAACAGTGGTAAAACTTCAATGTTGTTTGTAAATATCTGCGTCTTTGTTTTGCCAAATTTATCAAAATTATTCTAAAAGGTTTTAGGCCAAAGGCAATGTCAACACCTTATGGCTGGGTTGAATGTTGCACCAACACAGTATTGTTCAAATGGCGGCGTTCTAGCTTTACTGGTTGCAGAACACCTCGGGTGCCTCTTCGTGCATTTTTTTCAGACACGCATTGGATTCTGAAATAGAACCACACACGTTTCGTAACTAGCTTGCTAACTTCCTTATGAATCCACATTCCCTGTTTTTGTTTAAGTGTAAATGTGTATTGTTTGTCAATGGTATACATTAGATTACATTTAGAGTACTTTGTCCAACCGTGTTTGGTAAGAACTCACATATCCTTTAAACATAACGAACGGATCAACGCTTACAAGACTGTGCTAAATACTTGTAAACAAATAACATGTTATGATAATTTATGAAATTGCATGTTTATCATGAAAATTATAATTTAATTTTAGTTAGATATGGTTTGTGATGACACCATACTGAAGTCCAATGCACAGATGGTAAACTTTGCTGGAATATTTGTTGGTTCCCTTCTTACTGGCGTTATTTCAGATAAGTAAGACATTTGTAAAAAACAAATCATCAGAAATTTCGTTCGAAAACAAGGAAAACAGTAATAAATGCATATTGCAATTTTATTGTTGATACAAACAAAGCAATTATACGACCAAGTTAAAACATTGCTGTACATACGATTTGGTTATAATACATTTAATGCGCGACAGATTTATCTTTTAAGTAAAAGTATATTACATACTTTGTAACCAAGAAACCGTTCATAAATGAAAGAATACTGTTTCAGATTTGGACGGAAGCTTACAATGTGCACGTCGCTTACTCTCATTTTTGCATGTTCTCTTGGTATGGCATGGAGTCCAAACTATATTGTATTCATCGTTCTGACATTCCTTGTTGGGTTTTTTCAATGTTGGACAGTGGATGCCTTCATTAGTTATCCGTAAGTTACAATTGTGATTTCCATTGCACACAAGTTCTTATTGAGACTTTAATCAAAATATTATGAAAAAAGTGGCTGTTAAAAAAAAAAAAATATTTCTCTTAATCGAAATGGGAGAATATAAATAAATTAAAATCCTATACCAGTAACATACAGTAAGATCTAGACACTTAAATGTCGTATTGTGAAATAGTCGATTGTTTGGAAAATATTTAGCTTTGAGCAAAGTTCATTACTTTGGTCTCATGGTATCCAAATGGTCGACAAAAGGCACATGAGAGTGCAATACAACCGTGGAAAATTAAACCAGATGGAAGGAAAAAATCACCATTGGAGTGTTAAACCCAATAGGGGATTAAAAACCTCCCAACGGATGCTCATTATATCTTCCTAGCGCTCGGTTTCTTTTCTACATTTCTGAATTGTAAAATAGAATTCTTGTTTAACTCCGAACGGCATGGGTTTTTGTGGCCAAAGGTATTCCTGAACTGCATTTAGAATAGATAAAGCCATGTTTGAAAAGTCTGGATTAGAAAAATAAATCTAAAAGCTGTTCTATTCAAATTACTTCTGATGCCTATAAAATCATACTATAATTTGCAATATAGATGACTGTTGACTGACGTTCGATGTGTTTTCTTTACCATTGTTGTTATAAGAGTTTCACATTTTTGTTTTGCATAACCGTTACTTTTAATTCATTGATTTACAAACATGATTTATTTTTCACCAGGAGTGGAGTTTGTTGGTCCACCAGAAAGACGATTTGCCGGATTTTTAGATTCCTTTTTCGCTTTATTTGGTCGCGTGGCTCTGACTGGTATGGCCTTTTACATACGAGATTGGAAAACGTTGCTGATAGTTGCCTCACTTCCAGGAATCTTGTACTTGCCGTTTTGGTTGTACGAAAACAGTTTGTTATGTTTCATTATATTTATGATATAGTTAAAAGATTGTAGGTGATTATTTTAAAAAATATTTCTTAGTTCAAAATAATATGATTTTTTTAGCTTTGTTTGTGCGTTGAATAACAACAAAAAAGGTTTGATATGGATAAACTGTTCTAGTTTATCGTTCATACATCTGAAACTATACATTTAAATAAGATTAAATGTAAAATAAATTGTATATCTATGCCATAATGCATAATTATCTGTTTCATTGCCGACTTTTAGAAAACAAGTGTTTCCCGAATCGCCGCGTTGGTTGTTTTCCCGCTGTAAAATTGAGGAAGTCAAACAAGTAATATACCGTTGGGCGAAATGGAACAAAATTCATCTACCTGACAGATTTTTCGAAAAGGTTCTAGCTGAGAAAGAAGAAGAAAAACAAGATGAAGGGAATTTGTGGAATTTGTTTTCATCCAAAGTTCTGGCTATACGAACAACACTGATTTTTATAATTTGGTGAGACTAGTAATAATAACCGATGTTTGTAAAATAACACATCCATTAATCGATACTTACAAAGTATCAGATTATTTTCTGCATTAAAACAATTGTTTATAATTGACAGCACAACTTATAGATAGAATTGTGTTGTTGTGCCAAATCCCAAAGGATATCGTTAAATATCACAAATTATGGAATCATTTAAGGGCCTTCCAGTAATATGGGAGAATGTCTTATGAAAGTTATAAACACTTGTCTTTTTGACAAAAATTCACCTAATGGGTTACATTGTACATTGTATTACCATTCGTCATGGAATTTATATATTTACATATTAAATAAATGTATCAGCAAAAACAACATAGACTGTATATTCAACCATACATAATAAAAACATTTTTTAATTAAAGAATATAAATAACTGAATCAATACATATATCGAAGATAAAGCAATACAAAAATATGTAAATCTTACAACTAATAACTTATATATTTCTTATTAACCTTTTGCATGTTCTTAAATATATATATATATATATATTATTTATATTAAGTGTTTAATGAATATACGTATAAGTATTGACCCATGATCCTGAGAAGATTGTAAACCACACCTCCATGGAAATCAGGTTTGTATTACCACTCAAGCCGATGCTAGGGGCGTGAGGGATGTTGCACTTTACATTATCCCTCATGTACAGACTCACACAAACCGAGTCTTATAATTATTTTATGTAATTTTGCTGTTTTTTATGCTTCCGAGGGATCTTTTTTACCAGATATTTAAACATCCCACCAGCAGGTGTCTAGTGCTGTGTGACAACCGTAAAAGTTGTCCCGTACTTCATTACAGTGTTGTTATAATTTTCTTGTCCCTCGGGCACTTTAAAGTGTTCAGAATTGAGTACCGCTCGTTGAGGATTGAGTACCGCTCAAGCCGATGAAAGAGAACGTGAGGGATGTTGAACTTCATAATCCCCTCATGTACAGACTTAAACGAACAGAGTCTGCAAATTTCATGTAATTTTGCTTGTTTTTAGTGCTTCGGAGGATCATCTTTTTTCGAGATATTTGCTAATACCTAGTCGTAAAACAGATTTAAGATAACAATTAAATTTCAAAATTTAAATCTGAATTACGATGGTAAAATTTTATAAAATAATTACGTAGCTGATGATATCGATAGCCTTGTTGAAGATGTTTGTCAGTAATAAATAAGATGCGTTTATTAAAATCATCAAAAGGACTGCACGCGCTAGCAAATATAATAATCTGAGAAATATATTCTCCATATAATGTCGGTACATCTCCATTTAAATGTGGAAAGTTAACGATATTCAAAATCATATTTTTATCATAGATGTTAGTTACTATAATATTGTTAATGATAGAAATGTTTTAATCCAAAAACAAAATGTAGTAATGTCTAAAAAAGTTTGGTTGATTTAATTTAATTTTAATGAAATACATTTTTGAAATCATTTGATCAAATAAGGATTTTATAAGAAGCGGAAAGTGTTATTAAATGCATGTACTATTTCCTGTTGTGAAATACGAGAGAGACTTAACAAAAAAACTCTCATAGCAATATTAAATAAATATCTATAACGGGTAGACAATTTGGTCTCATTGGAATGCCTTTTATCTGTTTGGACACTGTATTACCAAAACTGACATAAATGTTGTCTGATAACAATAAGAGTGCTCTACAAACTTCTTCACAGGTCCACATTGTATATTTTTTAATGATACCATTGGTAAAGAAAACCTTCTTTCTTTGAATTACAAGCAAGAAAAGTAACATTTTCTCATGCAAATGTTTTTTGAATAAAAGACAATAATTTATATTTGATAAGTGTGTGCAATAATGTTGTTTAAAGGGTAAAGAAATCGTAAGTAATAACTGATGAAGATTGATAATTATTAACTTTTAACTTATCTAGGATTTCACTGGTCCTGGAATTTTTTAATAGATCAAAGAAGATGTTGGCCGTATTTTCATAAACTGTTTCACAATATCTAATGACAATATCTTAATTGCAATAAGTCTATCAAAGATGGCTGGTAGTACAGGAAGTAGAGTTAGCAATTATGGATATTTACGTAATTTCGAAAATCCAGTTCATTATAGGAAGTTTGAGCTCTTTCTCGATAACACGTACTTTAAAGTTAACAATATCCTTTCCTTTTCAAAAGCAAAAAGTTTAGAATAAGCACTAGTACTGTTAAGTTCCTTTTGTAAAACATTTATACAATGGATACGTTGTACAATAAATATAACTATTTTATTGGTCACCTCGTCAGCTTAAACTAAAAACAAATTTTGAGTGAAACGCTAACATATCTTTTCTAAGATGTTGTAAAGTAAGTCTAGGTTTATGTGGTAAAAGATGTTCATATTTACGGTAAAATCTGATACGGGATTCAAAGATTTTAATATATTATGTTTCCATGTATTATGTGCATTACTATCAGCACTTTCGCGAGGATATCATTAACCGAAAATTCCTCGATCGATTCATCTATTTGCACTAAAATCAATATCGGACAGAGCAAAATCAGAACACCATAAATATTGCGCAATTTCTTTATGTGAATAAGCAAAGTTTAGTTTAATAATATTTTATTGTACTTTTTGTACATGATAAATTTACACAATCTAACATCATTATCTTAAGCATAAATATAATGTAACATACAAAAGGGTTGGACAAAAAGTTATACCAACATTACCTAGGGTCCTCTCCTACATAAAGAAATTGCACAATATTTATGGTGAAGGCTAATTCTCTATTTTTTGACTACTGAATAGTTTAACTTAATGATTTTAATTAATAGATATTGTGCACAATGTCGAAATATATAGATAACTCGAGCAAAAATTTGAAATTATCTCGATGGTGATTTAATAAAAATCTCCGGAAGGGGCAGAGTAAACTAAAAGTGGAGATATAGTCTTATTTACTATGAAAATGTCAAATGAGCTACATGTATCCGGGCGAACGATTATTAATCCGATAAAACAAATCTTAAATGGATTTTTACTCGTTTGCAGGCGAAACAAGCTTTTCCAGATTTCGACGTGCATGCACGGACTAGAAAAATAACGCGAACGTGCGTCATGCTTAATGCTGGAATGACGATGGTTATTGGATGTTCTACTCGTGCTATTCGGCACCTTAGGCAACGTTTTTAAGCTACATTACGTACATAGAGATCAACCACGAAGTGGACGTCCTCGCGTTGCGATGCGTACCAAGAATGCTCTAATCCATTGTACACATATCAACCGTAAATCTGCCAAAACTGTACAATTTCCTACGCTAGGGTGTCCTGCTGTGGTATCTTAGGTGTGTCAAGGGCTGCATCCTCTAAACGTTACCTTTGCCTTGTTTATTTTTATTATCGTCTTTCTTTGGCTACATGGACCTCGACCTTCAATCTGACACAGTAATGCCATTCCATGAAAAGCAGCGTATGGTCCTCAAGTAATATAAGGCGTGTGCCCTAAACAAGAAAACAAAGGGCGGAACTAAACAAAACAGAATTTTGAAAGGGAATCAGAGGTTATGAAGCCTGCATATCATAGATAACACGTTTAACATTATTCAAGTAGGACTATTGAAATCACCCAACCAGAAAATGCCAAATAGTTAAAACTAAAAATACCACAAACACAACAATAATGTCTTGCTGAACGATCCTTAATAATCAAGCCGAAAAATAATGTACTAAAAAAATAAAAATACTTGTTCCAATATACCAATATACGCTTTTACGGAATTCCTTGTCGCAAATCTTTCATAGCCTGAAATTTTATAAACATTCTTACTTGTAAAAAAGAAAACAAATAAGCTGCTGCAATATTATATATGTTCAGTATTTTGTGTATAAACATTTTATGAATAGAATTTTTGCAAAGTTGATATCAGGTAAATCAAATGCCAAAACAAACCTCCAATGCAAAACTTAAAGTGTAAAAGCAACCTACTCAAGCATTTTACATTAATTTTCATAATTTTAATTTAACGTTTTACATAAATACTGCTTTTCTTTTCGAGTTATGCACCGGACCGTTTATGAGTATGAAAACGTAAGTAAGCTTTTAGATCAAAGATTAAGGATCAATAAATATCTATGAACATATACAGAAAAAAACTTCAAAATTGTGAACTCAACACTAATGTTTTGTGAGCACTGCACATCTCATTAATGACATGTATGTACACTTAGCTCTTACAGTTTTTGTTCCGGACAAGATTTGAGACAGGCAGATAGACCGACCCACAAAGTGTGTTCATTTTAAATTACAAGTGTAGTTTAGGTGTTTTGAGAACACCGTCACGAAATTCGTATTAATTCTGCTATAATGTTCACATTGACAGTAACAGACACAAATAATAACTTTAAAATATTTACTTTTAGATAAGATGCTAAGTACTGTCGCGCTGGCAAAAACATGAAATAAAAAGGAAATATATAATAATGCTAAATTAAGAAGTATAATGCTCGCAAGTCAGTGACAACGATTTTTATTTTAAATTCAAAATTTTCTCCATTTTCGTTTTTAAATGTTGACTACTGCTTAGGCCAGTGGTAGCATAACGTCTTCATGATACTGACCACTGACTGATAGTTATTTTCTTGCATTTTAAGTTTTGTTGCTAAATAATTGTTCACCTCTTGCAGAGTTTCAAGACCCTATTGACTCAATTGTACTGGTCTATCGCTGTTTATAAAACTCTCGTAGTTTTTTTTTTATATCTTGCTTCCAAATGATTTAAGCCCTGACCTCGAGCTTATAAGAATTTAGAAACAAAGTTATTTCTCGGAAGCATTAATCACAACAAAAATGAATAAGTGCAACATCCCTCACGCCCCTAGCACCGGCTTGAGCGGTACTCAATTCTCAACACTTATTAGTACTGGCATCAATGATCCCGAAGGACAAGAAAAGTATAACAACACTGAAGTGAAGTTCGGGGCAACTTTTTACAGCTGCCACACGGCACTTGTCACCTGCTTTTATGAAGTATAAAAATCTAAAAACAAAGTGATCCCTCGGAAGCATTAATCACAACATAATAATATGAAAATTGCAGACTCGGTATGATTGAATCTGCACATGAGGGGTAATGAATAAGTGCAACATCCTTAACGCCCCCTAACACATGAAGGCTATAAAACCTTTTTTTTTAGGTTCTGTCTCAAATCTCGGG